CCCAGCCAGCATTTGAATCAACAAGGAGGTTTTGAAAAGCTATTGCAATGACCTGGAGATAAATGTACCCAAAATAGTTATTGCAGATAGTAAAAAAACATCCCAGCTCAGTGTTTGGAGTAATGTATAAGTGTATAGTTTTTTTTTTTTGGTTTTTTTTGGTTTTTTTTTTTTTAACATAACAGTTCAAATTCCACACTATCAGAAATGTCTAGCTGCACTGAACCCAGAGTTTTGGAAAAGAAATCAACTGTCTCTGCTAATAAGAAGAACTTCCCCTCTTCCCCACAAAAAATTCTGCCATTTCATTCATAAATAAAATAAACCTCTAACTCAGTTGTTGGCAGGCTCTCCCTTTTATCTTTCACTCACTTGAGAAAGACCAGCAACATCACGTTTTCAGAAAGCCAAGTGCAGTAATCATAGAATCGGATTTCATGTATTTTTAAAAGCATTTGCAGCAGCAGAGATCCAATCACTTTTAAAAGAAACACAAACATACAGAAATTTGGAAGAAGCAACTCAGTGCTCCTGACTTCCTTCATTTCTCCAGCACCAGATGAATGTGCTGGGAAGGGACTCTTTTCTAAGGGACATCTCAAAAAGTTAGCAACATTATGCTACAAGCACCGCAGTGCTGAAATACTTATTATCTCAAATAAACCTGGATGACATTTGAGATGTCTCAACATTTATTGGCCTGCCAGCAGAGCCTGGGATCAATCACCTCCTTTTCTCTCATTCTGGTTTTTTTTTTTTCCCTCCTGCTTGCTCAAAGTCCGTGTTCATAAAATATTTAGGGGAAGCTCTTCAGAGGATGATATTGCCTATACTATAGCCCCAGTGCCAGTTTACTGTGCTACTGAGACAGATATTCTGCCACCAGAGAAATCAAAATTGGTCATGGGGTTGAGTTACTGCACCAGGGGCACCATCAGACTGACAGGCTGGGCTTGATCCCACCTGGGACACTGGGCTGAGTGGGAGGAATAAAGTAACACATGGAACAGAGCTGGTAGCTTTTGCAAGGTTATACAGAAAAATGTGACTTTTCAGAATGGAAAACAAAAGTATGACTGTTCTGCTTGTGTCTGAGAATCACCTGACCCTTTCTTACCTCTTTGCAATTTTCTTCTCAGTGGGAAAAAACCCCCAGATTAATGAAATGTGGAATTCAGATGTGCTGCTAAATGAAGCCATCAGTCTGGCAGCATCTCTTGCAGTACCACCCACTTCTGCAGCAGCCTGCCATAAATTAAATCAGCTCCCATGGTCCCTTCCTACCCCTGAACTTTGCCACAACCTGCTCATCTCATGCATTCACAGCCTTCCCTATAATCCACACATTCTGTGCTCCCACCATCACATGATTTTCCCCTCCTAATTTCATTAAATCAGCTGCAGATTTCCTGTGCTACTCTGAAGTTTTCCTGCAGCAGGTATCTGCTTTTAACCTTCTCATCAAAACCTGGCTGCCTGAATGTTCTTCTGAACCTCTCATGACCCTAAATCCCTATTATTTCCCCTCTTAGTTCAAGGGATAGGTGTTCCTTTGTTCCACCCTTGGTATTTCTCACCCTCAGGCATCCGAGCTGTTGCCAAACTGTCTTATTTAATAATTTTTAGGAAGTGCAGTCCAATTAACTTTATCTTCCTTGGGGATCCATTCAATTAAGTGCAGTCATAATGAGTGAGTGGACACAGAGCATTGTCACCATATTTACATCCAGATTAATAGGAACCAGGTAAGATAACTTTAAAGCCATCAATATTTTAATACTTTGGCTTTTGATTGTGCTATCTTCAGTATCAGACACATTTAGGAGAGGCCAGTGCAATTTGACAGGCTGAGTTTTTAATTTCCTCATTGGTTTGTGGAAGTGGGGGTTTAGAAACAGCAGCAAAAATGGGGGTTTAGAAACAGGAGCAAAGACTTGGTCTTTAAACAGGTTTCTCACAGGTCAAACAAAACACTTGTCCTGACAAAAAATAAACTAAAACTTCATCCAGTTAATTCTTTCATGGATTGAAGGTAATTTAGGAAACCAGCAAAGAACCAATATTTAGGTGGAGATGCTGAGAACATCAAGAAATCTCATTTAATGAGCATGCAACAGAAATGCTGAGCTAGGAACACCAGTTCTGAAGTGACTTTTCTCCCTTTTGAAAGACAAATGCTGGATCTGGAGCATGGACCTGTCTCTTAGATATGGAACAGCTCTGGAAGTTATTTTTATGCCTCCTTTGCATTGCAGAAGCAAGGGAGAATGGTCCAATGGAGACTGAAAACCTCATTCTGTATCACCACAGCTTAACTTAATCATGTCTCAGGCACTGATAAATGTGTCAATAAGCATTTGGAGAAATAACTGGTATCCAGGGAATTTATCTTAGTTATACGAGTTTCAGATGAATAGGTCAGATTTGTTAACATTTTAATTTACACAAATCTGCATTCCAAATATTGCTCTTCGTCTCCTTTTCCTAATGACAAAGAAATGTCAGTAGCAACCCCAAATTCACTCCTCTAATAGCTTCCTCAAGTTTTCAGGAAAAACAAACAAAAACAAAACACCAGTCTATGGTACAGTAATGGGGGTGTTTAAACACAATTTTCAACTTAGATACAATATAACTTTATGTTAATAAAGCAGAAAGTTTTGCCAATTCCAGATGTAAGCCTGAAAGCAGGAGAGAGAGCTGGGAATAAGCATGCCCCGTAGCTTCAGGGCAGCCCCAGGATTATGCCCAGAGCTGGTTGTTCTGCCTTGATCCAAGTGTCCCTTGCCCAACCTTGTACTCAGCTTGGGACACTCAACACCAGATTTCCACATACAATGTGCCAGCTGTGATTTCCTGTGCACAAGGGAACTCACACAAAGCACATGGTTCCCCTGCAAGTTTTTAAAATAATTTAGATGCAATGAGAGAAATGCTAAAAAAGATGCTGCCTTATCCTTTCCCCCTAATTATCACCTGCCTCTTTTCTGAGCTGATTTTTTGACATTAAAACCTCTTTCCCACCAAATTATCCCAAACTGTGTTTCTGAAATTAATATAAACTGATGGCCTTTCTCTGCCCATAAAGCCCAGCATTAAAATGCTGGCCCCCACTGATGTCAGGGGGGCAGTAACAGTTCTTTCATTTCCATAAAACCAGCATTTTCCTGCCAGAATTCCAATTTCTTCTCTGAGTACTCTGCTACCATCCCCTTGGGGGCTGCCAGCAATATCTCCAGCATTTGTTTCTCCTCTGCCACTGCAAGCCTGCCTCAGGCTCCAGCACGGCCTGGGATAATCTACCTGCTTAAGATTCAGCCAACTTCCCAGCTCTCGGAATAAAAGGAGTACAGAAAGGTCAAATCTGCCCTAGGTTGTGCTTGCAGAGTCTGCCACGTCAGGTGGGAAGGAGCAGGTGCTGGAGCTCCTCCTGCTCCCCCCACTCTGCTTCCTGTCTCCACACCTGGAAATCTCTCTGCTCTCCTGACCATCTCCTTGGAAAGCTGTTCCACACAGCTCACCCTGAAACGGTGCCGAGGGCAAGCCTTGTGCTGCTCCCAGCCAGCACTCCCATCCCATCCCATCCCATCCCATCCCATCCCATCCCATCCCATCCCATCCCATCCCATCCCATCCCATCCCATCCCATCCCATCCCGAGTGTCCCGGGATGCCCCTGGGCTGCACACGTGCTGCTGAGCTGCTGCTGGGGTTTTTATCTGCTCTCAGCAGCTGTCTTTGGGACCCTCCCCGAGCTGCTCTGAAGCAGAAAAGCAGCCCCACACATGGGAATTCCCTGGCAGGGAAGGTTTCCTGACTGGAGCCTGGCACAGCATCAGCAGCAGGGCCAAAAGTGTGCTGCTGGCCTGAGGGGCACGGGAAAAATCTCCAAGGTGCTGGAGGCTTCACCTCTCAGAATTCCTAGGCCCATATTTGGGGACTCCTGCTTGCTCTGCCCCTGCCATTGCCACAGGGGAGGAAAGGAGAGAAAGAACAAAAGCAGTTTCTGGTGCCTTCTCACAGAAATGCAGCACATTTGGCTCTCCCAAACTGGACTGTCCCTTTGGATGTGTTGTGAAAATAAACATCTGAGCCTCAGACTAAGCGAGTCCATCCTTCCGTACTCTCTGTGGCCCATGTTCCATCACTTAGTCCACAGAGCTCCCCCAGTTGCATTGAGCTGCACTCCATCACCTGCACAGTCCACTGGGGAATAAAATCAGAACTGAAGTTCTGGGGTTCTCTCCCTTTACACCCCCTGACCCCATCCCCTCATTCCCCACTCACTCCATTCCACCACTGACACTGCATCGATTTCTATTTAATGTGTGAGGTATAAATGCTTTGTCCTTGAGCTACACCCGCAACCAGAGCAGGCAGAGCTCTGAGAGTCACATTATATAGTTTACACTGGCTGAGTATTTTTTGTCAGTAAAAGTAAAATTTCTGCTGCATTTGGAAAAGCTGCACATTGTAAAATGCCAGAAAGAAGAGGCACTAAAGGCAGAACATCACACCAACCCCAAATCACTGGAAGACATTTTACTAGTTTGGAAATGACACAAGGACATGAAGTATGGTGAGTGCAGGCTGTGTTCCTTTTCCAGGGATAACATGCAAAGAACTAAGAAAGAGAGGTCTAGAAAGGGCTATAGATGTCTTGCACTTTATTTCCCCCCAACAGAAGGGAGGAAAAATGACCATTTATTCATCCCCCTAAACCTCCTGGAGTATTTTCTATATCTTTGAGTTGTACAAACTTAGAAAAGGAAAATATCAGCTGCTGGAGTTTGAAGATTCTCTCAGGGTTTCATTGACTGATATGGATTAAGACAAAAATATCACATCAAAGCCACGATGCCCCACAGTCGCCGCAGAAGCAAAGACTGTGATCTCCACACCTCAACTCCAGCTTTTAGAGGCTTGGGATTAAAGACAGTGTTTGGGCTTTTCACATCAGCAACCACCAACAAACCCTTGGTGAGACGGTTTCAAACTCACCTCCCTGTCGAGCCCAGCGGCCACGGTGACGATGTCCCCTGTCTCGCTGTTGATGGTGAACATGTTCTGCGAGGGGCTCTGCGGGGTCTGCGTGACGATGCGGTACCTCACCATCCCGTTGGCCGTGGTGCCGTCGTCCGCGTCGTTCGCCGTCACCGTCATCACGTATGTCCCTGGCAAGGAGGCAAGAGGAACTATCAGTGCCACCCCACTGCAGAGCAGACCCAGTGACCCGGGGTCATGCATTTTGTTCAGAAATGCTATGGAAAAACATCTCGCTTCAATCCAGCCAGGCAAGGCGAGGATCATGGAAATAGCAACACTGCTGAGATAGATGATCTGGAAGGATGCTGATTACACGTAACTGGTAGATAGAGAGAAGTCATGTGAGGGTATCTATGATTAACTTATAATTCTTTCAGTGATTGCAAGTTTTAGGGCAGCATTTTTTGTCCTGCAATTTCACAGATTTTCACAGGAGATTTTTTTTCATCCAATCACTGCATTCACATGCATTCAGAAGCAGAATTTAATAGTGGAAAGCCCATCAGACTTCCCAGCAGCTTCAGAAGTTCACCATCAACATGTCCATGCCCTGTTCAGGAAGCAACTGCTTGCTGCTTCCAGTTCTTGGAGAAACATCCACCTTTCTTGTCCCTCCAGGATTAAAAAATCCATTTCTACAGAGCAATACAACAGCTGCTGCCCAGCAGGACAGAAAATCAATGATTTGGTGTGTGTGGCCAGTGATGTATTGAATTGTTGGTTTGTTTCTTGCTAATCATCAGTGTCTTCATTTGCCTTGCAAAAAACAATCCCCACATTCTCGATACTGTCGGAGTGCACTGATGCACTGACAGGCTCATTAGCACTGGAGTTTGGCAGCAGGGTGTTCTGCTAAAGTGGGAAATTATCATTATGAGCGTAAAAGATGTTACTTGATTGGATGGACTCCTGCAGCTGCATGGTCTTGTGACCCCCCAGAGCTCGTAGGGCCTAGCTTTACACTTCTTATATTGGTGGGAGGAATGAGCAGAAGGGCAGGCACGCACTGCTCACACACAGCAATCTGCAACAGTGGATGGATATAATGATGTGAGACCTGAGAGGAGGAGTGGGAGGCAAAGAGAGACAGCAAAACCAGACATAACCTCATTTTGTGATCACCAAACCCAGCAGCATCCATGAAAAGAGGGAAGTGCTGCTCAAACACTGAGCATTTGGGAAGTCTGAGCACATGGACCAACTTATGAGCCTGCAATGCTGGAGAGATGCAAAGTGGTCCCAGCAAGAACCACACAAAAAGAACTGAGTTTGTTCTGCTCTCTAGGTTAGATGTGAGCCATGCACAAACGTGAGGACATGTGGCTGCAATAGCATCATGCTGTTTCTCCTCTGGCACACCCAGGTCCCCAGCCTGGTCCCACTGGGAGCTACCACACTGCCAGTTCAGGAAGACCAGAGAGCAGGAGAACTTGTATCTGTTTGCAAAAGACTTGAAAAACACCCCATGCTCTAAATGGCTGCAGCATTTTGTACCTTAGCCAAGCGTCTTTAAGCCACTCAGAACGTAGGAAATGCCCCCAGTACCTTTCCCAACTCTGGGAAACCAATGTTTCTCAGTATTAGCAGAAGTTTATAAGAAATTTGTATGTTTGCACTTGTGGGAAGTGCTTTGCTGATCTTCAATCTGCTTCAATCAGGCTCTTTTTGTTCTCAATGGTGATACATATATTCCTGTGAGTTTTCTTTGTTCAATAAGAGTTATAGATTAAAAAAAAATGAATGTGTAAAGCAAATTTTAATGATGAATACATTCCTGTTTTTCTGCAATAATCCTGATTCACATTTGTGAAATGAAAACAAACTATTCAACAACTTTAACATTCTCCTGATCAATAAACTTCAGAAGACGGAAGGAACACTGAATTGAAACAAGGCTGTGCAAGCAACAAATTTTCTCTATTTTCTCTACAAGCATTCATTTTGTGCTCTTTTTCAAAACCAGTTATCACGAGACAGCTGATACAAATAATGAAACCAACCCTTAGATAACTACAGGGAAAATGCACAGGAGAAATTTAAATAGGAAATATGCTGAATGAGATGTTTGATTTGGAATTTATGTTATCTTAATGCATTCAATACTGAAAATATCTCTGAACAGAATGTCAGAACCTGGGGCTAATGAAAACAGAAGTGGAAGACGAAAACAGAATCTATTTTAGGACACGTGCAGTCTTAGGATGTATTCCAAAAAACAGGTGGTGTTTCATGGTGCACTTTTAGCTCAAAAAACAGCTCTGAAAGTCATTTGGACTTTCAGGTTCAGACAAGGGCACCCCACAATTGTGGTTCCTCCTCATGCGGGATGTCTCAGACTGTACTGCAGATTCTGGAATTATCCAGCACGTGTGTGAAATGGTGGGTTCCCAGCTTGGCAGGGGAACCTGACAGGCTGCAACTCTGGTGGGAAGGGGTGGGGGACAGCAGCTGTACTGTGGATGGAGAGCACAGAAGGTCTCCTTCACTCTTTCTCTGACCTTTTTGCTTCTTTCCTGTGGTGTAGCACTGGACTGAGCACATCTGCTCTAGAGAAAAAGGACTATTTCAACAGCATTTGACCTGCATCTCTATAAAGGGAGATGGGGCTGGACAAATGTCTCTAAAGTCATGAACTGAGCACCAGGCAGCTGTATTTCAAGAAGCAATCTGCTCCCTATCTCCTATCTTTAATTTCCATTATGAAACCAAACCACAGAGAAAATAAAGAGAGGAACTTGGCATTAATTACGGTCTTGTAACTTAATAAACGCCCTCTGCGAAGGGCCCTGTGTGGCTGCAGCACATGACGGAGCTGCAGCAGCCTCTTCCTTCCTGCCTCTCCCTGGGGCTGTCTGTCTGACCACAGTCTGCTGGAAACTGGCTGCAAATTGCTTCTCCCTCTCCACAGTCTGGACAGTGGCTGGTATCTCCTCTCCCTTTCCTGTGTACACACTTTCCCCACCTGGCAGTGTCGACCGACAGCATCTCCTGCTCTCCATGCTGAGGGCATCATCCCCAGGGATGGCTCCCGAGGGATCAGCTGGTGTAACCTGCACCACTGCCCATGTTCCACTTGGTTTGCTTTGCATTTAGCCTGTCTTTAAGGAAGATTTATCCTCCAGATACCTGCATGCTGCAGTGAATGACACAAACACAGATCTGTGCACAAGAGTACTCAACAGAGCGATGTGTATATACACAGATAAAGTGTCTGACATCCTCTGGGTGTTGTATAAACTCTTGCTCTGTACTCAGATGGTTGGTGATAATTTACCTGCAATAAAGTAAATAATGTCATGCTTCTATGTCCTTTACATGGAGATACATCTTCATGTATTTTATATTAATATAAAGGCAATATATCCCTGTATCCAGCCCCTAATGCTACAGAAATTAGGCAAATATACAGTGGCAGAGAGCACAGCTCTCACACACTCGAGGATTGAGGCTGCTATTGTTTGGTTTTAAGTGACAAAATACTGACTGCCTAATCTGGCTCACAGGATGTGTGTCTTTTGTGGAAGTCAAAGTATTAACCACACCATATTTACAGCCCTATATCCTACCCAAACAGAGGCTAGGAGCAATTACTGCAGACCAGAAACACTGAGAAAACTCCTCCAAGTCACACACAAGACCCCCAATCTGTACTCTGTCAATTTTGCATCAGATCCTGCTGGTGGTGATGAAGCTCCAAGAGTAGGTTAAACAAGTGTAAACAGGGCAAGAGGGACTCTGTGCTTTCAGAGCCTGAGAAAAGCATCACCTTAATTTTTCTGCTCTGCAGGGCTTGCTCTCAAGCACACTGACAACATTAAATGAATGCATAAAGTGCCCAAACTCAGAAATTTGCCCCAGTCTGGGCAGTGTATCACAGGATGATACCCAGTGCCGATATAACAGATATATATCTGATATAACTGCATTAAACTACACACCTGGCCTAACTCAGGTACATAACCTGTTGAAAGGAAACCATTTCTCATCCAATAAGGCACATGGTACGTTAAATAAAATACCAAACCTAGTACATCATGTCAATATTAAATCAAATTTGCTGCATGTTGAACAGACTTCTGAGCAGCAGATTGAATTACCATGCACAGCTAGTGATGACAAGATTACTGTGCATTAGCCTTCATTAACTAATGTGCAGAGTTCATATATCACCTGAGTTAAAATTAATGGATGGCATGACGAAGGAGATCTATCAATAAAAGACAAGACGTCCAGAATCTGCAACTTCCCAATGCATTCCCTTTGATTTCCCAGAGACTGTAAGCTCCCAGATGTTATTTTGTCAAATGAGATGGTTTTGTTTCTAACCATGGATAAGACACATGAGAGAAATGCTTGAAAGCAACTCTTATGGAAAATATTCCCATTGGATTAATTAAAGTTTCTACAGGATAGGCAAAAAAATGCCTTACAAAACCTGGGGGAATAGAAGCAAAGGGAGATAATTTATACCTGCACATTCAGTTTTGTTTGTCAATTTTAAAATGAATTGCATCTCCTTGTAGGAGACTGCAAAGAGATTTTGCTGGATTCACCATATCTCATTCAATCTGTACACACCAAGGAAAAAGAAGAGCAAAACAGGAGAGATAGCTGCCCTGAGCATGTGTAAACAGATAAGCACAGTCATAAACAAATGTCCCCCCTCAAATCACTCTGGAATCTGAGAATCAGCACAGTTCTTTGTAGCTCAGACAATCCCAAAGCACGCTGAGGGCTGCTAATTCCCCTCACTGCAATCTCTGCTCTCCCATCTATGCAACTTCATTTCTCCATAAAGACAGGGCTTTCAGGAGTTTAAGGCACACAAACAATATTTTGGCACAGTTGTGCTCCTGAAGTCTTTGTTACAATTGTTTTATAATTGCCATTTTTCTAAGCTGGTTTGATATTCCCGGTGCCCTGGGTTTCCACAGATATCCATTAGTTAGATTTAATGCATGTTAAAATAAAGAGCTAATGGGCACTTACCAGGAAGCCAACAAAATATAAAAATCAAAACTCCTTTCACTTCACCTTTTATCCCACATGTCACTGCAAAACCACATAATCCTCCCAGTATTTTTCTATAATATAAACAGAAAATGCTAAAACTTCACCCACTTTTTAC